TTCTACGCCACAAAATACGTAAATTTTGTCCGAAACTTTTTTTTGATTCGTGATAGATGGCGCTGTAATCGCAAAAAATTATATTTTCCGCAATTCTCCAGAAATGATCATTGGATTAGAAATAAAAAAATACCTGTTCAATATTTTTAAAGAACATAATAAAAGTTATTCCCCCCCATCCTCTCGGGTAGGGTGGGTGGTAACGTTCAAATCTCAAATGAACGAATCGAAGAGGGAACTGGCTCGACGCGCCACTGTGGGTGTATGGCGAACTACGGTTTATTATAAAAGGCAGTGCCAAACTATCTATCACGAAGAAAAAATTGTTTCAATAAAAATTTCACGTACAATCTAATTCTGCAATGAAAATGTGGGTCCCCATTTGAGATTTGAACGTTATCACCCACCCTACCCCGAGAGGATGGGGGGATAACTTTTATTATGTTCTTTAAAAATATTGAACAGGTATTTTTTATTTCTCAATCCAATGATCATTTCTGGGAATTGCGGAAAATATAATTTTTTGCGATTACAATGTCATCTATCACGAATAAAAAAAAGTTTGGACAAATTTACGTATTTTGTGGCGTAGAATCCGTTCTGCAATAAAAAATGGGGGTTTCTATTTCAGATTTTAAAGTTGCCCCAACTCCCACCCCCAGGGGTGGGGTGGGAGGTCGAGTTTGGTATCATTGGATGTCCCCCTTCGAGACTAACAACTTCATTAACCACTTTTTTTTATCCAATGCATAGTTCTCGAGATATTCAATCTTCATATAAATCGTGCACCCTGTATACGTCCTCAACAGGGCGCTTATTCATCTCCGATCGGAGAATGCCCCTACTGAGGAGGTCTTCTACCTCCCGTCCCATTCGACTCTCCTCCTCCTCCCTTTTCTTTTTCCTCTCCTCTCCTTGCGCTGGCGTATGCCAACGCCTAGGTACGTGGTCGTCCACGTGTCCTCTTCTGTGGCTCCAGAAGCTTCTGTGGCACCTCCCACCACGAGCAGGATCCTCGCTGGAGCTCTCCTTCCTCTTTCGTTTGCCGAGTGCCGTCGCATGGGATCCTCTGGATCACCACCCTCGATCCAGTACCTGCCGGCAAACAAATATCGGAAACCACCACCTGTTTCCCAGTGTTGGCCTCCTTTTACTCTGGGCCTGTGGCCCCCTCTTACTTGTGAGGGGTTTAGCTGATCAGTCCTCGAAGTCTGAACAGAAGTCCTTCCCCCCGTCCCCGAGGACTCTGGCGTTCCCGCATTGAGCAGCCGCTGCTCTTCTTCGCGGAGCTCGCCTCGCCAACCTCCCGGTGGAGGCGACGCTTTTGGCCGGTGTTCTATCTCCCGCGTTGCGTAGCCGCTCCTCTTCTTCCCGGGAGCTTACGCAGCCAGCCTCGCGGTCGAGACGGCACTTCCGGCGAGTTACCGAGGGAGGCGGGAACGGTGGAGATTCCTCATATGGTGGCACCTCCCCGGGGAGGCCCACTGACTCACTCCTCCGCGGGGGCGGAAGACGGTCCTTCGCCGCGTGATCTCGCTCTTCATCTTGTCAAAAAATTCTGCCCTGTGCGAGTGGCAGCTACCGACAGAGTGCCCTTGAGCACTTCGTCTGTATCCGGCGAAGAAAAATAGCCGAAGCTGTAGATTTTAATATTATGTGACTCATACATGTATTTGGTCCCACGAGTGCGGCGGGAAAGGATCGACCACCCCGAGCAGAGCCTCCACATTGCCCGGGGCTAGGCTATTATGTCCCCATGTTTCGCCAGGTTCGTATGGGTGAGGGTCCACTTGCGACAGGTCACGCACCTGCCATTCATCCCCTAAGCATGGAACTCCCCACCGTAGGATTACGTGGTCTTTTATAGAGATCCCGCCTCCAGTCCAGCCGGTTAGGCAAGACTCCCAGCCCCAGAGACATGACCTAGGGATACGGTATAATAGGCTAGGGTACGCCGGGGTTCGCTTGGATCCCCCGTACTAGGATGCCGAAATACCCTGGCCCTAACGTCCACCTCCTTCCCATCCTATCCCTGCCACCCCCGAAACTCACCCTTCCCTGAACCGAGGTGCTCTTGGCAAGCGATCCTCTCCATCCGGCCCTCCCTCCGGTTGGACCGGAGGTACTACCCGATGGATCTACGGATCGCCTGTGCCTCCTCACCACGACAAGGTGGCACCACGTCAAGGAAGTTTATAGTAATTCTGTACATATTAAACATTATATTTAAGGTTTAATATGTATCAGGTGTAGTAAAAGAAATCCATTATTTTTGCATGAAATTGAAGGCTTTAATTACCATAGTTAGAATGATCCGATTTAGGTCAAATATGCGCCGTTTTGTTCGATAACTTGTTGCCATTTTGAAGGTAATTCATTATGCCTCTCTCATAGAAGCCCTCGTCCCTATTGGCAAAAAATTGAGACAGTCGATTTTCACAAGCCTCTCTTGAAGCGAATTTTTCACCAGCAAAATTGTTCGCCATGGACAGGAACAGATGGTAATCACTTGGTGCCAGGTCCGGACTATAAGGTGGATGCATAAGAACCTCCCAACCAAGCTCCCGGAGCTTCTGGCGAGTCACTATCGATGTGTGTGGCCTGGCGTTGTCCTGATGGAACACAATTCCTCTCCTATTGGCCAAAGCTGGCCGCTTCTGGGCGATTGCTTCCTTCAGACGGTCCAATTGTTGACAGTACAGTTCCGAGTTAAGAGTTTTGCCGTAGGGGAGCAGCTCATAGTAGATAATTCCCTGCCAATCCCACCAAACACACAGCAAAACCTTCCTGGCCGTCAATCCTGGCTTGGCCACCGTTTCCGCCGGCTCACCGCGATTCGACCACGACCGTTTTCGCTTGACGTTGTCGTAAGTGATCCACTTTTCATCACCAGTGACCAACCGCTTCAGAAATGGGTCGATTTTGTTGCGATTCAGCAGCGATTCGCAGATGGAAATTCGGTCCATGAGGTTTTTTTCGTTAACTCGTGTGGCACCCATACATCGAGCTTCTTTTTGTATCCAGCCTTATTCAAATGGTTCCAAACGGTTTTTGTGCAATCTTTAGCTCTTGGGCAATCGAAACAGTGCTTACATGACGGTCGGACTCGACAATGTCCATGATTTTATCGATATTTTCGACAATTGGCCTTCCAGTGCGTGGTGCATCTTTGACATCGAAATTACCGGAACGGAATCGACGAAACCAAAATTGCGCGTGATTGGCTGTTACAGTATCAGGACCATAAACACTATTCACATTTTCAGCCGCCTGGCTTGCGTTTTCGCCTTTATCGAAGAAAAACTGTAAAATATAGCGTATTTTCTCTTTGCTAGTGTCCATCTTTGACGCGCGCTCAAACAAAACTGAGTCAACTAATCACAAAACTGTCAGAAAAGTTTTTTTAGTACGAAATCTGTGGGGACTTTGAGCTCCCCAAAAGCGCAGCATCCGTTTTCCGTGCGGCGCTATAGAGCGCGCGCAAGTGTCACTCGTGCGGGGAAAAAAGAGAAACGAGTTAGTAACCGTTGGAAGCGCTCACAGAGTTAACGTATAATACGATCGCTAGTCATAGCCTGAGTATTTGTTTCTTTGTCGTGTGTGACACCGCGATTTCTGCA